TTTAATTTTTTTATTATATTTTTATTAATTTTTAAATATATGAGTTATAATTTAAATTAATCATTTATTTTACTATTATTCAAATTAATTAAGAAAAGTTATGGTAAAATGTTTCTAAAAGAAAAGTATAAATGCATACATGAAAATCTAATGATTTTCCTTTCTTTTGTGTTACTATCTAAACTTGTAAGAAAATTCAATAAAAAAAGAATGTAAAACTAAAAAATATCACCTATATATTTAAAATATTTTTTCTAATATTAATTTTAAAAAATATTAAAAAAATATTAAATTCTAATTTTATTAAAAATGAATAAATATTATTAATTGTTGTTAAAAATAATAATTAATGAATAATAATTCATTTGATCCCTCAATTGTAATTAAAAGTTTATTTTAATATTTTTTTTATATTTTTAAACAATTAATTTTAAAAGTCAATAATTTTTTCAAAAATATATGAAATTTATAATTTTTAAATTATAAAACATTTCTTATCATCATCATCATTTTGTAAAAGAAATACTAGTTATAAAACTTTTATAAAATTATTCATATTTTAAATTACTTACACTCAAAGTTTTCCTACACTAGATTATACGTATTGTGTAATTTCATACAAAAATAAAAATTTGTCGAATTATAAAAATAATTTGCAAAAGAATATTTAAAGATTTTAATAGAGAAAGTTTTTTTTTGCACACATAAAAAATAAAAAAAAAATTAACGGTTTTACACAAAAAATCACCTTAACAAAAATTAATTATATATTAGTCACATTTTAAAAAATTTACGAAACTAACACCTAATTTTTATACTATGCATCTTTCAGCACGTGGCGTAAGACGCGATGTATGAACTACGTCTTTCTGCAAAAAGTGTTAGTTCTGAAAATAAAATTAAATGAATATATGACAGGGAAATAAAGATGGATATAGAATGATTTTTTGGAAAATTCGCCCTAATATATCCCGCGCCCTACGAGTATCCAAAGCCTATAATTCAACGTCCAACAATAGATCCATTCATTAAGAATATTGATACACGTGTCGATTTCAGGTACTTGTTTAATTCTAAAAATTTCAATTATATTTTAATCTTTTATTCTAATTTTATTATTTAGATTTATAAATATACAATTATATTTTTTTATAAATATCATTTCTAAAATTGTAAACATGATTTTCAACATAAATTACCATTGCGCTAATCATTATTAATAAACTTCAATTATAGAGCTTTTTAATATAAAGAAGGCTAAATTACACGATTCCTCACTCTACTTCACTTATCTCCTATTTTGCTCACTGAACTTTTAATTTTTCTAATTTGCCTATTAAATTTTACATATTGAATCATTTTGCTCATTCTGTTGTTAACTTTTTTAATGTCGTTATGACGTGGCACAGGAATCAAAACAATGTTGTTTTGAAAAACTCAACTATACTATAAAATGACGTCGTTTTGGTGAGTAAAATATGAGATAGAGTAATAATTTACTCTTTTTCCTTCTCTTTTCCATTTTCTCTCTGTCGGTCACCACGTTATTTTCATTTTAGTCACTGTCGACCGTCGTAGATGGTGGTCGTTCGGTCCCAAAATGGGATGGGTCAGTTCGTCTCGACCCCCTGAGTCCTGATCTGGTGGTTGTTTCACCGGAAAATGTCTCAAAACCCATGATTTTGGACTGAAACGTTTCGATTTCCTAATTTTCAATCTCAAATTTGTGAATTTCGGAGCAGCTTCCGACAAAATTGAGGTCGGATTCAAACTCACAACGTCGAGACGAAGCGACCCATACCATTTTGGGACCAAACGACCACCATCTACTTGCGGTCAACGGTGGCTGGCAGTGGCATCCGACCACCTTTTATTTTTATTTTATTTTTTAATTATTTTATATTAAATAAAAAATCAACCATTAGAGAAAAAACGAGGGAGTGAACAAAATGATTCAATTTGTAAAGTTCAGTAAACAAATTAGAAAGATTGAAAGTTTGGTGGGCAATATATGAGAAAGAGGGTAAAGTAGAGTGAGTAACGGTGTAGTTTATCAAACTTCAATTATAATTTAAGTTAGTAAGTTTTTCCTTCCTTTATATTCAAAGAGATAATATTAAAATTTACAATATTGTTGAGAAAAAACTTCTTAAAAATCATGCATTGTGTTGTTGTGAAATTATCGATTAAAATATTATATTCACGTATATTTAACTATTTCTATGTATTTATTTTTATAGTTATGAAACACCTGGTTCTGATTTGAATGTGGTATATTGATGTCATTAGCGGTTAATCTATTAAACGTATGTTATGTTAAAAAAATATAAATTCAAAATTTTCTCCTGATATTAAAGAATATCTCTATATCACAAATATCTCTTATGTTAATAAAAAAATCTCTTATAGATATTGTTTCGAAAACCAATCGATAATAAAAATATTTAAATTATCGTAATAAAATCTTTGTAATTCTTAACTCAGTCTCTTAAAATAATTTAACCTTATTATTTGGATATAAGATTTAAGACTAAAATCACACACACACGTGTGTGTATATATATATATATATATAATTATAAAAAAATTCTCATTCCGAATTATTCAAGGTAAAACCTTGGCAACCAGAAGGACAACCAAAATATATCTATATATTTATTTATATTTATATATATATATATAATATTATTTAATTATTATTTTTTTAAAATTTTAATTAAACTATAATGAATTATGAATATATATAAAAGATATATAAAAGTTGTCCCCTTGCATCGGGATAGCTTAATTTGAAGTTAATTTAGTATTGTAATTGTTAAAATTTTAAGGGCGGCTTCGCTAAAATTGAACCTAGTATCTCGAGTATACTTAAATGACCCAACTATAAAGAACCTTAAAACCAAGGGACTATCTGATGAATTGACCCTTAGAAAACTCAAGATACTCGGTTCAATTTACCAAAATCACCCTTAAAATCTTAAGAGGTGTTTGGATAAAGGAATGTGAGATTTCTATGATAATGGAATCTACATTCTCATGTTTAGTTGGTCGAAAATCTCATTCTCGGTAATGTTTTATTACCAATAGTAGATTTTTAGGATATATTAATGTGAATGACATTACCTCAATTTTCTTAGGTATTGCTGGATTACCGGCGTTTTGGACTAAAATGCCCTTAATTTTGTTTCTTTCAAAAATATCATTATTCTGTCATTGAATAATAAAATTTTTACGAAGGTTAAATTACAAATTTATCTTTAATTTATTTTAGATTTATAAAAAAAAATCTATAATTAAAATTTTATATGAAGTTCAGGGGTTAAAATAAAATTTTACCATTTCATTAAACTTTTTTATATTTTTAATTTTGTAAAAAAATATATATATAAATTTAAAACTTTTAAAGAAAATATATAAATATTTTTTAACTTGTTAAAAAAATAAATATATAATAAGGACAATTTGATTAAATATACATTCCAATAATCTTTTATTTCTTTAACCAAACACGTTAATCTTACATACCTGCTAAACCAACCAAACACAAAATACAACATTCCCTGATAATCTTACATTCTCACCGATAATCTTACCTTTCGTGAACCAAATACAAACTACTAAAGGTTGCATTATTAAGTTAACTTCTAAGTAAGCAATCCCAATGCTGGGGGATTGATGTAAAATATACAATAAATTTATTTTTCAGCTCATGGAGGACATATAAGTAGGGTAATAGTAGAAATTTAAATTTTAATATCTCTATCATCGAACCAAATTTAGGAGAATTTAAATAACTTATAATAGTTATATTTTTATAGACTTATAAGTTAAACTTTTTAAAAAAATAAAAATAAAACACTAATAAATTTATATTATTTTAATAAAATATCCACAATTAAATTTGTATCATAAATTAAATATTTAGAACATATAATACTTTATAATTATTTTAACTTAATAAAAAATATTAAAATATCCATCAGCTACCTTATTGCACTCTCTTTCACAGCCCTCCCCAAGTGATCTACTCTGTTTAAATTATTGTTTTTCCTCCTTACATTCAAAAAAAAAATTAAATATTAAAAAATATTTACATAATAAATTAATATGAAACAAATTATGTTAATTGATTAAGAAAAATAAAATAATGGGTAAATTATATTGTTTCTCACTAAACTTTATCATACCTCCTATTTTATTCATCGTACTTTCAATTTTTCTAATTTGTTCATTGAACTTTACTGATTGAATCATTTTGTTTACTCTGTCGTTAAATTCTTAATGGTGTTATGACATGGCACAAGCATCAAAACGACGTTGTTTTGAAAAACTCAAATATACACCAAAACGACGTCGTTTTGAATCATCTTCTTTCCCTCATTATCACCGCAGGTCACCAAGTCATTTTTCATTACGACAACCGTCTATCGTTGTTGATGGTGGTCGTTCAGTTTCAAAATTCATGGTTCGGTTCGTCTTGACCCATGAGTCCAAATCTGGTGGTTTTTTAATCGGAAAATGTCTAAAAATCCGTAAAACCCTACTGAAACATTTCGGCTTCCTCACTTTTAATCTTCAATTTGTGGACTTCGGAGCAAATTCTGATAAAATAGAGGTCAAATTCGGACTCAATGTGTCGAAGCGAAGCAACCTATAAAATTGAGAACCAAACGACCACCATCTACGGCGGTCGATGGTGGCCAACAGTGGCATCCGACCACTTTTATTTTTATTTTATAGTTGGATGAGCAAAATAAGAGAAAGAGTAAAATTCAGTGAAAATGGTGTAAATTATCCTTTATATTTTCAATTATTTATATATTAAATAATAATAATAATAAAATAACACATCATCACAACGTTAGTGTATAATGACAGAGTGAGCAAAATGATTCAATCTGTACAGTTTAGTGAGCAAATTAGAAAAATTGGAAGTACAGTGAGTAAAATAGGGAGAGAAGTAAAGTTTAGTGGTTAATAGTGTAATTTACTCTAAAATAAAATAAATGAGTAAAGGCGTTTAAGATTCCAATCCACATCGGGGGCAAGAAGAAACTGAAAATTAAGATTCCAAATGTAAAGCAAAATTTTGGAACAATCCCAGTTAAAAAGGGATTGCAAGAAGAGACGATGGAAGGCGAAGGGAGGAGCGATGTGGGGAAAGCATTGGGATTGCTGATATGTGGTACCTTGGTGTACTACCACTGTGCCTACCGCAATTCAACCATTCTCTCTCTCTTCTCCGATGTCTCGATCATTCTCCTTTGCTCTCTTGCTATTCTCGGCCTCCTCTTTCATCAAATGATCTCTTCTCCGATGTCTCGATCATTCTCCTTTGCTCTCTTGCTATTCTCGGCCTCCTCTTTCATCAAATGAACATCTCGTACGCTTTCTTCTCTTTTACACCTCTGGGTTTCTTTCAAATTATCATTTTTATTTGTTGGGGTTTTAGTTTATTTATGTTCCTGCTAGTTTAGGATTGATGTTGAACTCTTTTCCTTTGAAGACCAATTTCCCTTTTTTTTTAATTTACAATAAGTAAGCTTCTTATTTTGTGACCGCGGTAGTCTCTGGATTTAGGTTTTAGATGATTTAATTAATCACGGTGACAGCAGAAATTATGCGTGCTTATCAATATGTTAATTATTGAATTTTTTAAGATGTTTGACAAGAACATGCTTACTGAACGATTTAGCATTTTGGATGTTTATTGAAAGTATTTGTTCGATCCAATCTTAACTTTCACCACATCTAGTGAATTATTAGGGCTTTAGAGTTAATTGAGTTTTGTATTAGGCTCCAATTGTGCTGAAGATGTTTCTGTTTGTAATAGGTTTGAATTATGGTTAGATTTTGATTTGTGTTGAAATTCACCTCCAGGTTGGGGTTCCTTTTCCCCGTTCATCTAATATTGTCATATATTTCTTTCCCCTTTCCTCACTTTTATTTTATTTTCTGCTTCACTCGAACTATCAAATTTAGTCCAGTGTTGATCAAATTGTGTGTTTACGAATCACGATATCTTATGTGCGTATATGCAATGTGACTTGTCTGATGGCATTCATATGATTTTGCTTTTTCATTTTAGTAATGAATTTTTGAATTTTTATGCTTGAAGCCTTGAACCATTTCACTCTCATAATGCAAAGATGTTTTATAGGATTCCGGTAGATCCACTTGAGTGGCAGATCTCACAGGATGCCGCTAATAGCATTTTTGCATGGTTAGCTAATACTGTTGGCGCAGCTGAGTCAGTCCTAAGGGTTGCAGCAACTGCGCACGACAAAAGACTATTTTTTGGGGTAAACTGTTGCAACTTAAATAGCTGTTCACTATAAAATCAGCAACTTTTTTCTATTTAGATCCTAATTCTTCTGCTTTAGTTGATATCCTTTGAATATACATCTCAAACGGCTTGATTCTTCTATCCTCCGAGAAACACCCCCTTCTCCTTGGAACCCTGGGCAACTGTTTTTCTCGTCTAGTGAATTTCTCATTGCTTTGATGCTTTTTGAAAGTTATTATGTTAATATTGTACTGCAATTATCTTGAGATTTTTTTCTTGCATGGTTATTAATTCGATGCATGTCTACCTTCAGGTCGTTGTTTGTCTTTACATACTGTCAGCCATTGGACGATTGGTCTCTGGTGCTACAGTTGCTTATGCAGGTATGCTTGCCATTAACTCCCATTTTTTATTGTTGAAATCAATTGCATCTTTTAATATTTGTAGTAAAACATGACATATATTTGAACGGGTTAATGTTCAATGAAGCACACACTATTTGTCTCAAGTTCCTGTCAAGTTTCTTTTGCTCATTCAATCACCATGAATTATTTTATGCACTTGGATATTTCATATTTCTACTTTGGAGCAATCACCGTATTATCAATACTATTTAAATGTCATTGACTTCTCCCCGACAAGATTGGGAATATGGCCGAAATATGTAAAAAGTGATTTGCTATTTGACATCAAAGAACCCTTGCTTTTTATGTATTAAATTTTCACAACCAGAAATTTTAGCATGCTTGATAAAATGGTTTTGCCTTCTACATTTCACCTCAAGTTTATATCTTTCTGAGAGTTATGAAAAATTTAAAAAATGTGTTTCTTAAATAGGATTGTGCTTGTTCTGCCTTTACACGCTTGCGGAAAGCTTGCAGTCAATCAGAACATGCGTTCCCCAGTTTCAAAGGCCAAGAAATGGCACCACTGTTGAAGTCGATAATATGTAATTGCAAGTGCAGTTTGAACATACGGTAAAGCAAGTTGAAGCTTCCAAACTTTGTTTTATCTTTGGACCTAGCCTTGTTGAGTATCGTTGCTATACTTTGGCCAAGACTGTAAGATGTATTACTGACTTTTGCTATACTTTGGCCGAGACTGTTAGATGTATTACTGATTTTTACTATACTTAGGCCGAGACTGAAAGATGTATTGCTGATTTCTAGTTCTGTATTTTCCGTCCATAAAATGTAACGTCCGAGAATGAAATTCTAACTTTTTTTTTTTGCGTCCTGTTTTAGCACATTTGTAGCACTAATGGTTTCTGTAAGTCCAACGTCAATATATCAATGAGAAGTACAAACTCCAGAACTATTTATGCTTGATTATTTGTTGACACAACGGAATTCTTGTTAATGTTACCAACAAATTGCAGGAAGATTTTCCCCCCCTTTTTTAGTTAGGACGCCCAATTATATCAACCATTATAATCAGAATCAATAATTATAAGCTCAAAATGTCATTGACGATTGCAGGAAGAATCTCATGTTTCACACAGAACAGTGTCAATGGCATTAACAACACTACCGTGCCACTAGCCCACTACCCAGACGGCCATCGCAAAGCAATATCAGGTTTCAAAGATTACATTTTTTGACGGAAAGATCATCTCTAGGAAAGATATGGATATTGTTCAATTATCTCAATTCAAACAAGAAATTGGCAGATATAGAGACCAAATTGGTCAAAATCTCATGTGATGTATAAGAAATCTGTAGGGTACACGTCAAGCGGAACAAAATTGAAGCTCACTTGATAATCAGGCAGAACTATTTTTTTTTTAAATGAAGACATTGATAGGGTTATTCATATATGTATATGGGTGTTGGTACTATTAAATACCATCATGTGGAGCTCCCATAAACAACACTGAAATTACTACCATGCTAGCACAGCATCCTCTTGCACTTTAAAGAGAGGAACTTCAACTAGTTAGCTACCGGAAGTATTTTTCTTTTCTAGAGCCATCATAATATGCGTCTCTCAACAAGCAATAAGTCTTTCCAAGATTCATAAAACATCCACGTGATACCAGAGGGCATTACTTTTAAACAGCACCCCACCCTCTGTAAAGACCCGTTAAGTCCTCATCCCGGATTACTTCAGCAAGTGCTGCTACCATGTTTGGTGGACACTTACCCTGCAAAGCTCCCACCATTAGCCGTTTTCTGGCTACTTCCAATGGAAAGCTTATGGTGCTAGCAATAAAACCTGGCCATTTCAATTGAACCAGTTTAGCTCTTTAAGCATTGATGCACTAATGGTCAAAATAACAAATAGGAAGGGTAAAAAAAGCTGCGTGTGTGTTTTGAGGGGGGGGGGGGGGGAAACAAAGGTTTATCGATGATATATGGGAAACCCCATTTAATAATTTCAAACAAACAGTTCAGGCCAAGACTTACCTGCAAGAGCTCCAAGTACAACCATCTCCGGACGATTTAGAGATTTTTTCTTCTTTGATTGGCAGTAGGATTTCTTTAGTTCGTCATACATGAAATAGTAACAAGTACTATATGGAAGCATGCCCATTAGTGTTGGAGAAAGACCAGCATAAAGGGCACCAACACCACCATCCTTGTAAATCTTGCTGATTGAAATGCTTAAGCTTGGGTATATGTCAGGACTGACAGTCAGTCTATCCTGGAAGAATTACAAGGGCAACATTCAGCTCCATAAGAAAAGGCAATAATGAGACAAACTGTATAATAGTTTCAACATAATCTCTTGAAACCATTTTCGAGAAATTGGTCATAGCACAAGAAAATTTTCAAACACAAACACAAACCTGCATGGCTCAAACACAAACCCGCTTTCAAGAGATCAAACAATATATAAGCCAATTGAAGAATGCATGTACTTTGCATTGAGCTTGTGAACTCAGCGTATGGAATGTATTTCCTTGCGCAGGTTAGTACAGGATCGTTTCAGACTAGATGTTTTGCAGAGTATGTTTTGAGTATTTGTAGAGGGCATGTATTCTATATGGACCTTGTGTATTCGAGTCGTAACTCTATTTTGATTTTCAAACTCATGGATTGTATTTGTACGTATTTGGGAGACTCCCACATTTTGTAAACTTTATTTGTATTCCGCATATGGTATGATGGATGTTTTCGATGGTTATAAACTGTTTTGAAAAATAATTTTTTGGGTTGACCATTTTGGTAATTTAATGTGGAATCATAATCCATGTATCTTCGGGTCGGACTGGATTAGGATGTTACAATTCAGCAAAATCAACTGATGTCTCATTAATAGGCCTGAGAAAAATGCTCTTAATTCCCCAAAGATAAACCTTAAAACATCACCACACTTTTCACATCCTTGGACAAACCAGATACAATGAAAACGACGACTAAAAAAGAAGGTGAACCTAACGAATAATGATTTTTTTACGAAAAACACGTCTTAAGATTATCCCACCAATCGAATTTCTGACACCAAGCACTTTTTGCATTCTAAAATGAATCCCACAACTCTTTCATGTAAAATTTTATTTTCATTTGATCTTATACGTTTAATCCACTTACAATACATGTTTTTCTAAGGTATAGATGTTATCTTTCATGTCCTTAACTTTTGAATTGAAGTTTTTGTAAGATTCGATATTCCATTTTTTCAGTGAACCTTTAGCTTCCTTAGCCTTCTTCAAAAACTAGCTTTATCATTTGAATCATCTTGGAGCACCTCATTGATCAAACTTCTAAAATTTGATTTGCTAAGTTATCAATTGATGAATTTGAATGGCATCGGACCACAGGTCTGGCAGAAGTACCGAAACATGATCTAAAATAACCTTCTTGAGACCCAGTTGCACTACGTTCTCAATTTCTACGAACCACTGTTCATCGATAAGGAATCCGTCTAATCTACTCCTTTTATTGCCTAGGCTAAACCAAGTGAATTTTCCCCTTCTCAAAGGCAAGTCAATCAGTTTACAACCGGAGATGAATTCAATAAATTGTAAGTAACCCGAAATCATGCTAGAACAACCACTACGCTCGAACTACATGAAAGTCACCTGCTATTAGCCAACAAGTAGAATTCGGCCCTTTCAAAACCAGCAATTCATTCCACAACTCAATTTGTTCAGACACCAAACTTTATATAAGTGCTGATATTATGCATATATGTTACATGTAGATGTTATGTTCAATATATCTTTCTAAAAATATTTTTTTTTATTTTTTTTTTGATAATTTATAAGTAATTATTTTATAACCTATTATATATATCCAAAATTTTAAAGAAAATATAACAATTAGTCGATTTCTTCCTCCCCTTCTCTTCCCTTTTTTTTTATTCTTTACAACTTGTGTCAAATTTATAGATCAATCCAATTTTTTCTTCTTTAATTTTGTTTAACCAGTGACGAAACCGATTTTGATGTTGATTGCCGCCCGCCGATTATATTTTTTCTTTTTCTTTTTAGTTTTTTAATAAGAATAATTATGTCTCTGTGACATGTTCTCTGCATTTATGACATTTTTATCTCTGCATTTGTGGCACGTTTTCTCTGTCTTTTGGTAGCTTACCATTTTTTGTCGTTTTTATTTATCTTTTTTCGCAGGTTTGGATTTGACATCGTCACAACTTATCAATATAGCGTTTATTTGTTATCATGATAGTCTTCCTTGCTTTGGACCATCAGATTGATTTGATGCACGTTTTGCGCTTGTAGATAGTTTTCTCACGCCGCTTAACTTTGATTTGCGATTTGTCGATAGTATTTCAATAGTTTCATCCCTTTTGTGGTTCGTTTATCGTTACAATCAAATTTTTTTCGTATCTTTATTTTATTTGAGCATTGGTTAGGTTTTTTAACTTTTTCCTTTTATGGTCATTGTGTGATCTAGGTGACTAGTTTTTGTGTTAACGATTATAGGAAAATGTCATAATTATAATTTAGTTTACGGTTATGCTCGTAAATCTTCATTGTAATTCTGGATACTTTCTATTTTTAATAAAACTAGAGGCTTTCTATAAAAAAATATATAACAAATTTAGTATTTTAATATGTACGGTCAAATTTTTAGTAATTTATTTTTTAGTATTTTTATATTTAATTTTTGAATATTTAAATAATTTTATATTTATAATTTAAAATTATTTTTTATTTTTTTGAAAAGAAATTAAATAAGCTCTTGCACTTTATAAAAATCAATTTAGCCCTCGAACAAAATTAAAAAAAATAATTTAGCCTATCTGCCACGTCATTAACCATAGTGGATTGCCACATTAGCTTTGTAACATCCCAAATTAAGGGTTAGTGATTAAATTGTAAAATTTTGGAATTTTGGGATAAAGGTATAATAGTTAAATAGTTCAATGATTTATGTGGAGATATTTCCTGAAAGTTATTAGTAATTATCAAAGGAATTAAAGGGCAAGATGGTCAATTGACAAGAAAAGATATTTTTCTCCCCTTTAATAGGAGATAAAACGTGGGGAGATGAAAACATTTTATCTTCTTCTTATTCCTTTCTTCTTCCTCCTCCCCGTGGAAGCTAGGCAAAGGTGAGTTTTCTGTTTTGTTGATTATTTGTTGTTATAAATGTTGGGTTTTGATCATTAGATGATAACTAAGCTTAAGGAAAGTTTAAGTTATCTTAAAATCAAAAGATAAAGGAGTTATGACAGATTAAAGAAAATGGGTTTTGAAGTGAAATTTTGAATAGGAAGGTTTAAATGAATTTGGATGATGAATTTAACTTGTCATCTAAGAGAATAAGAAATTAGAAGTGTTAGAATTAAGTTTGGATAACATGGAAAATTTGGTATGATTATTGATTTCTATATGGAGAATAGAATTTTGAGGTTTAAGATGAAATAAATGGATATAAATTAGTTTAAGTATGTATATTTGAGTTAAGAATATGAAAGGGAATGAAACATGAAGAATTTAAGTTGATATAGTGAATTTTCGTGCATAAACAGTGATTTTCTGGGCTTGAACGAAAATTCCATATTACGCAGGGGGTACAGATTCCCCCCTGGGGGTATCAATTCCCCTCTAAAGAAAAAAATATGGAATTTTGGGCTTAAGTTATTAACATCAAGTTTAAGGTTTAGGCTTCTGATAATTGTTTTGAAAATTATATTTATGTAGATATTGACCCTAAACAAGTTCCAGAACAATCAAAGAATTAGGATCGAATCAAAGCAAGGCTAAGGTGAGTGCAATTTAATTTTACGTATGTTATTGAACATACATTGGCTTGCAATGAGCCAGTGGTGGAGTTACTATGGTAAGAAGTGACTCCTTAAATGTTTATATAGTTGATGGAATTCTTATATGTGCATGAGTACATGAAAATAGATATATGTTATTATATGTGATTATAAGAGCAATAAAATGAATACATGCATATGTCTATAGAGTAAGTGCATTTCTACATGTGATTTATGTGAATACATGTATGTGTGAATATGTTTGGTATTATTACATGATCATAAGATATAAACAATGTGATAAGTGATATGTGAATATATGAAATTATGAGACAATTGATTAAGTGCTTAAGAGATATAAGCAATGAGATAAGTGACATGTGAATCAAATGGAAATGATTTAGGCATAAGTTTATATGTTATTCTATGTGATATGTGATGTATATATGAACAAGATGTGACATATGTGCTTATATAATAACATGAGAAATGATATAAGTCATATGAAACTATCTACGTGAATACATGCACTTGTGATACATGTGATATGATATGAGATATACGGTTACACATACATGTGGTATGTGACAGAAGAGAAATAACAAGTGATATGAATATGTGAAATGATAAATAATAATGCTCATGTTATACAATACGAGAGCTATAGGTATAGTTGGCATGCCAAGAGTCGAGGGTCTATGCGGTCATTCGGGACAATTCTACGTGGTCCTTCGGGACAATTCTACGTGGTCCTTCGGGACATATATGTAATTATGTGGAACATGTATGTGGTACTTCGGTACACTTATTTGGTCTATTGTATTATGTATATGGTTCTTAAGGAGTGGTCCTTCAGGACATAGTGGTCCTTCGAGACATTTCTACGCGGTCCTTTGGGACAAATATTCAGTGCCCTTAGTGGGAATTTATACGAGCTGTGGTGACATCATTTGTGCACAACCTCAATGTACTCACATACCTTCAGTTCTCACCAGTGTACCATGGGCTAATAAAGAGATAAACAAAGATACTGAACATGATATGTATATGTGGTTTGTTATATGGAATAGATCACATGATTTACATAATGGTGTATTGCTTGGTTAATGCATGATGCGTTATGTATAAGACTGTTAAATTATAAGAATTAATGATAATGAATATGAAATGTTAAACATGTTGATAATGGTATATGTGTTCCATGATCTGTATAGAAATTTCACGATGATATGTTTATTCCTTGGTATAGTGATATATGTGTTATATGATGAATATATGGTAAGTAAAAGGGATTAATGATAGTATTTGCATATATATGCCTTTTGTTTATATGAAATGATATATGTTTTATATGTCTCACTAAGTCATCGACTTAGCGTGCGATTGTTTCACACGTAGGTTTGGAAAGCGAAAAAGAGAAGATTGATAAAAGTTATACAAGACATGTCAGTTTCTCATTTCCAAAGATCAGATCAAAAAATAAGTTAATAGTATGTATTTTGTAATATTTATAGTGGTTGGCATGTAAACAAAGATTTGAATCCGATATGTTTTAATCGGTTTTGTAAAATCATATGATTGAATTTTGGTAATGTTTTAAACGTATATTTGTAAATGGTA